ACTAATTTGTCATCTGTCATCACTGATGGATTCCTCTGACGATTTCATTGTTTTTACAGATTTCTATTCTCTTGTAGGCTTGCAAACTGTGTGCAAATAATACAGAGTACAAGTAAATACGAAAACGAAAATATTCGTAATCATATTCAAAAAATATTCATTCCAATGAAATGAAAAAAGTATTCGTTTCTTGACGAATAAAAAAAAAGTGTATTCAAATGGATATTTTTATTCAGTTTTTATTTATTTATTCGAATATTAAGTGCATTCATCGGGCACACCCTCAGTTACCTGCATGATTAAATGATTAAGAATTTTAATTAATAACATTTAAAAATTTTTAAGGATTAAAAATTTTTTTAAGACAAGCGGATCTCAGTCAATTTATTGCTGTCAATGTTTGTCAATGTATTCATCTACATGTTAAAATTATAGAGCGTCAAGTTCGGTCAAGTTTTATGTATATTTATGTAGATTACAAAATCACAGTACAAACTTCTGCATAAGAGAAACAATCAATTAAAGTCCTTTATTTCACTTTGATTGATTGATTCTCTTATACCTTATTCATTATGCAAAATTCTGTGCTGCAGTCTTTAAGTTTGAAAATGCAGTTTTCGCACAAATTCTTTGTCTAAAATCCACATGTCATTCGGTAATAAAATTTAATTAGCTATCAATGGTATACCGAAACACATAGAGTGACTTGTAAATCTCTCAAGCGTCATTTTTACGAAACAGAAAAGTTTGAAGAGACACGAAAAATCCAAGGGTCAGATATTCGGCGACACGTTATAGGCCCGGATATCGGCGGTGACCGGAAGCCGCGCGGCACGATTTCTTTGTATCTAGAATCGGAAGTCACAGGGGCGTAAATTTTAATATCATTCGCGTAGGGGTGAGAAAGAAACACCTCTCGGTGCGAAAATTCCTTCTGTCGGATTCTTCGCAACACACGGAGGAAACCATATAGCACGCTTCGGCAAATCTTAATATATCGAACGCGTGTCCCTTTTATGCTTTCGCGGTATTTCGTCTCAAAATCCACTATATAATGCTATGTCGACCGCGTGAAGTGAACGCGATTTTACGCTGGACGAATCGCGATTTTATTATAGAATCTGCAAGGGAAGGAACCGAATATTTGACAAATCTTTATGGTAATTCCATATGTGAAATATCGAAAATATAAAACTATATATAAATATCAAAAATACACTATGTATATATAAATATGTTTTTGTTGCAACGCGAGTATTTTTTTTATTTATCGTCTAAATACTTAAAACTCTTTGCAATGTAAAATTAAGCGTAAAATCGCTGGATTTAAGAAGATCAAAGTTATCTTACTTTAAACTCTCTCAGCTTTGAGGGAAACGAGAATTGGTGAATTAAAAGAAAAGAAAGAAAGATAAAAAAATTATCTCGGACTTCCACGCGCGCGATTCTGATTGGAATCGGATCGTGCCGAACTAAAAAAGGTTTATACATTTCCCAGTTCTGAAAATACGAGGGTTAAAGTCATTAATGATAAAACGGGATGGCGATGATGGAGATGATGGCTGGCACACACAGATAATCGTTTCGTAATTCGTTAACGTCCTCGCGAAGTCTAATCACCAGGAGCGGCGCGAAATATAATAATTTTAATTTGTATCTTGTACACACCTCAACCTTCTTTCCTCCTCTCATTTTATACCTGCCTAATGACGTTCGTCGTAATTATTCGACGGAGCACCGTCGCTAACATATAGTTGGCAAGAACTTGTGGATTATCAGAACGACGATACAAATCTTCTTTTTTTTCCATGAAAAGATGAGCTTCGTTAAATCTTAACTATTCTAATTATTCCCAATTTCGAAATATAATACTAAAATTGTCTGTGTCGATTTTATATCATATATGTACATTTTTTAGAGTATATCCGGAATCCCGATTTCTGGCAATTTTTAGAAAATCACAGTTCTTAGAAATTCAGAAAAATTTTTTTAAATTAGGAAAATTCTTATGCGTATGGAAGTTTAGATAGTGCAATCTTCTTATCAATTCTCTTGATACCGATAGTGTAGGTTTTTCAAAGTTTTGACTAAAAATAGAAATCTCAAGAATTTTCGGAACAATTCTTGGAATTTTAAATGAGGCAACCTACCTTGCCAAATTACAATCTCCTAATTCTTTATTAATTTTTCAAAAGTTTCAGTTTTCCCGAAACTTAAAATTATAATAATAATTTCAGAATTCTCTTAGAGAATTTCAGAAATTATTTAAAATTTTAGATAGTGCGACTTTCTTGCCAATTATATTTCTAATACCGTGTCAATTTTTTGAGATTAATTTTTTTCTTTTGGAATTTAAAATTATAGGAATTTTCTTAATTCTTCGAAGTGTTTTGTGTGTAGAAAATTCTGTACACATCAAATTATTGAACACACATTTATCGAAGTTCTTAGCTTCTCCTTCTGTTTATGTTGAATTTGAAGTAGTGAGTTACTTTATCTTACGCAGGAAAAACGAACGTTCCCATATCTACTATCTGCAAACGATCGGCAAGATAGATTTGTCGGTGAATTTCAAATTGGTGTCACTGTCGCCATAGGTGGCGGCACCACTTTGATACAACAATGAGACTCGAATATTTCGAGCTATACGTTACGATTTCGAAAGATCTCTACGATCGATACTTAATATCGACGCTTTTCGACGGATCGAATGCGGATTCATTCGTTCCGACGATCGACGACAAGCGAAAGGGGGGTGGGGGAGGGGAAGTACAAGAAAAGAAATGCAATTCGGCGATGTGCGTCGTCAAACGGCGATTGTGTTGTGAGGCTTATTTTGCCGTCACGAGGAGGAGATTTCGCCGGACAAGTCGAAAGCGTCTATTCGCCCAACATTTGAGAATGAACTCGGAGAGATTGTCAAACAATGAGGAGATGTCTGCAGTAGAACTGATACGGTTGGGAAAGCTTCTTAAGTTAATACCTCGTGGTCGCCGTTGCTGACAAACATTTTCTTTCCCTTTCATCAGGGAATATCGCGTTCGACCAGTCCACCTTCCCCTCGTTCAGAAGAGGTATAACTGCAAACAAATTGAGGAATTCGCTGATTATTATATTTGAAAGCATGCGAATAGCGTGGGTGCATTAGAACATTCGAGCTCTTTCTCTATTGTTCCAATCCATTGATAGCCTAAATATATACTTTGTTTTCTTTCTTAAATATAAAGAAAAAAACAAATGAAGAAGTTACTTAGATATAGAAGAATCTATATTTTTAGCAGCAATAGATTCTTTGGCTGTAGTTATACAATAATAGTTGTAATTATGGAACAATAGAATAAAGAGGTATTTCCGTAAAATTGAGATATTCTTCCATGATTTTTTCTAGGTTATAATTTATGGTTGAAATGTGTTTATAATCAATTGTGTAAAAATCTTTGGTGTCAGAAATGTATATACAAACTAGAGGTCTTGATTCATCTTCAGCGAACAATCCAAGAAAATACTTCAGCGAGGCATTCGGAAGTCGACATAGGTCACAAGGAGTCTAGACGCTATCCCTACCCTGCCTATCGCTATATCAGTGTGGCTTCAGTCCTGGTCAGGACGCAGCCTTGGTTCAGTATGCTTCCAGCAGTGCTATCGAAGCCATCGAAAGCATCTTAGGCTTATTCTTTATAATATAATAAAGATTTTGCAGTGTTTGTGGTATTGGATCAATTCACGTTTATCAGAATCATAATAGATTTGTGTAGACTTAACAAATTTAAGAGTTGTCTGCGTTAGATTCACCACCACGATGGTATGTATTCTGATTCTTCTTCTTTTTTGATTCAGGTAAATGTGCAGTGGAGCGAAATGATTGAATATGACAGGTTTTCATTTCATATTTCTGCCTTTGTGTGGGTTAGGATCAAGTTTCGTATTCATTCAAGAGCTATACCTTTTCTTTCAATAGCTCTATGATATGATAGCTTTATGTCAAAATTATTTCATCGTGAATTGTTTTGTGTTGGTGATACAAGTCGATTACACTTTGTGCATTTTTTGTGAATGTGTATAGAGAATTCTTTTTAAGTGTGTAATCAAGATTATGTATTGTGTATGTTTCAAGTTTTTTAGTGTAGTTTACACTACGATATGTTATATATTAGTGTAGTGAAAGCTGTTCTTGTAAATTAATTATGTATACAAGGGGTAATATCTCTTGCTCAAGTGGATAGTTGTACATTTGCTGCTCAGGCTGAAGTATGGCCCCATATATGAACCATATTTCAATGCCCTGTCATAACAAAGGAACAAACCCTAGAGGCATAATAGCCTTTTTCCCCTGATATTGCCTACCACATAAACCTATTAATATTTTTCCGCTGTGTTAGAGCTCAATTTCAGTTAATAAAAGGTATTAAACTCGCAATATAGATATAGACATTTTTGGAACTGACAAGAACTTTCAATAGATTGCGTTATAGGTTTTGTCGATCAATACCACACAAATGGTCTGCGCAACAGACCAATAGGGGTTGTGCATATATACATGTACACGCAAAAATTCATCCCTCTGCGCAGCCTGCCAGGAGATGGTCTATAGTTTCTCCGCTATGCTCCACCCTTAAAGTTCCTGACAACAGAAAAAACTCCCTTAGCTGCTTAATTGAGAGATATGACTCACCACAGAGCTCGATCGATCCAGCATCCCAGATTTCCTGCCTTTGTTTGCATATACCCACTCCGCTCTTACGCAAAAATATGACTGTGTTGAAATCAATAACGTTTAGGAAACGTAACTGTTATAAATATGACTTTTATTTTTATTTTAATTCCATATATTAAATGAATATACTCTATATTATATACTCTATATGTCATCTATAAAGAGATATATATCCTGACAGCTATTATTTCTATTTTAAAATATATAATTTTATATATTTTAAAAATACAACATGTAAAAATGTAACATTTAAAATTTATGTTATAAAATTTATTTACTGTTTCAGGTTGGGACTAACCATGTCCACTAAGAGGCATCGCGGGCAAAAGTTAAGCGTAGATAATAAAGTAGTACATGAAGGCCGTAATAGATAGAATGAACGCATTTCGGCAAAACGAAGCGCGTTGCTTCAGTGAAAACTCTCCCAGGCCGCCAGTGCCAGGTAAAACAAAATATTTAAATAATAGAGTAGAAGTAATTACATACTAATGCATACACATATATAATCATATCAGACTATTAGTTTACATTTTTTAATTTTTTTAGAAATGAGATTGTAGCTCTAAAAATTTATATTCTTTAAAAACATTTTAAATAAAATAATTAAAAATTTGTTTGAGATAAATTTTTTTTAAAATTATAATTGCTTAATTTATATTATAAGGAGAATATATATTAAGATATACTAAAATGTATTACAGCGAGAGTTTTGCGTATTCCAGGAGAGGAAACTGGAAGCTATGTTAGTCGGATCCGCAAGCCTCCGGTGGTTGCGATGTTTCGGCACCGTTGGGATTCGAACCGGAGGGTTGTTGCGGAACCACTACCATGGAGAGCAATTCGCCCCCTGCTTACGCACGGTGGGCGAGAAGTCTGCACTCCCTGTTAGAGGATCCGATGGGTTTAGAGCTGTTTAAGAGATACCTAAGTCAGGAGGGGCATTTGGATCCGCTCAATTTCTGGTTCGCCTGCGAGGGTCTTAAAGAGCAGAAGGACATGGAGAAAATCTCGCAATTGGTGAAGCTCATCTATCGAAGGTTTTTTCTCAAGTCGCAGCTAAGCATACCAGAAGATGTAATGAAAGAGGCAGATCGTCGGGTTAAGGAGGGTCGCGCCGATCACAAAGTGTTCGACATAGTGCAATTAGAGGTCGAGCGATTGATCAACGAGACGACTTATCCCAATTTTCTTCAATCTGACGTGTACCTGCAGTACATTCAGTCCTATCAGATTCTTGATTCCGGCGGTTGTCCAAGTTCGAGTTCAGGTAGCCGCGAGATGTCTCTTTCCTGCGGACCGAGTCTGCTGCCCACCGTGCATGAAGACAGCGAGTACATCGGCACCGGTTGTGTACACATGCACAATTCGCACTCGACCGGCGAGACGCCCGGAGAACTGAGATTGACCAAAGATATGCTAATGGTTACCCAACAGAGTAGAGCGATGGATGTACGACCGAGGCCAGAAGCGTTTGCCGGGTAATGCGCTTTTTGAAATGAAATCGAGTCTTATTAAAATGTAATTCGTCATTTGTATAGTACGCTTCAAATCAGTCCTGCGAATGCCTTAACAATGCTGTCTTCTTTTCTTTTAAAGCTTGATGTGATGAAACTTGCATATAATCTGAATTATATTTTAAGTTTACATTTTATTACCAATTCCTGAAGCGATTGACATCGCTAAAAATAAATTATTTCCCTTAATAACAGTTTTTGATAGTTTGTCCATATGCAGGATATGCAAAATTTTCTTTTTTGTTTGTTTGATAAATAACCTGATATTTTTATTTATATTTTATTTAGTTGTTTTTTGTTTTGCTATTTTGCGTGGCACTTATAGCCTTTACTTGCAACATGGGGCTAGTCCGTATCACATGCACGTACCATCCAGAATGCACGCACTATATTCCTCCTACAACCCAGTATCCAGACAGGATTCCGAGCTTCAGAGTTTGAGCAGTGATGCACGTACCGAGGTGGACAATGTGTCCCTCAATGACGGATCCATGTAAGTTGTTTTTATCTTTTTAATTTTACAGCGTTGAATTTGCACATAAACGGAGAGTGGGATTTTTCCAACTTTCATCTTGATCATTCATTATCAAACTTTATTACTAATCCGTATGTATTTGTAACTTATCGCCTACAGCGATAGTACGGGCAGCAGACAGAGAAGCAAGAAGCAATACAGCAAGCAATCTAGTAGGGCAATTAAAGAATCCGCGAATATAAATCGCGAATCCATGGCGCATCATGTTGTCCCACGAACCCAACGTATAACATCTCCGAAACAGATGTCGCCGGCGCAATTCGCGGAAGAGCTCAGACAAAAATTGGAGATCGTGCAACGAGAGCAGAAGGCCCACGAGAAACTGGAGAAATATCTGTATCAAGAAAATGACTTATCGATCGCTAGCGATGCGTTGGTAGAACCTTGTGGAGCTTCCAAAACTCTAGGTGATGCGCTGAAGGAAAAGTTGTCTATGGAGGAGGACAGTGATCAGGCTATTCTCGACGAGCACGTATCTCGCGTTTGGTCAGATCAAACACCTTCAAGATCTCCCAGACTTTCACCCGAGAGAAGGCGTCCTACCCACAATTATCCACGGCCTTACAAGCAGAGGAAAGAGAAAGATATGGACTCCACGTTCTCGGTGGACAGCGGTAATATCCACGACTTCCAAGAGGGCAGCGATCTTGTTGGAGCCGGCTCTATGAGTTCACTGGGTTCACACCTTCCCAAATCTAAATCTGTGCCATCAGATTACGGTGATTTCCTTCACAAGCAGGATCTGCATGGTCAAGGTAAATATAATAATGATGAATGACGGCATACGTGTGCATTATGAACGAATTGTGTATAGTAAAATAAAATGTTATTTTGCGCAGGTCACGATCAGAGATTCCGAAGGTCGGACATGACCAGACGATCAGCTACGAAAAAATCGATGACGGAGCTAACAGATAGCGGAGTAAGCGTAGTCAGCGATGTGCAGCCTTCCATAAACAAGGAAGTTCGTCTGATGCCTCGGTTTAAAGAAATGGACAAGAAGATTGATTTAAAGCATAGTAGTCGCCATGGCAAGAGATACGGCTCGCGTAGTGGATCTTTGGAAAGGCCAAACAGAGAACCATGGAGTATGGGAGTTCCTGCTCAACCGTTCGTTGCTGATCCGGGAATGCCACCTCCGCCTCTACCTCATACGGTGAATAGGAGCTGTTCTTTTCCCTCTTTAGATTATCAAGAGCTGAATGTATTACGAATAACTATGTCACAGGAAATACAGTTAGAGGAGACTCGTAGAAGATTGCAAGTAGAAGAAAACAGGATGCGCGCTAATTGCAAGCGACACCCCAACGTTTCGAAACAGCCGTACGAGTTCGCGTCGCAGTATCAACCGTACGTCCAATCCAACCAGTCTACTTTGAGGAAACCGAAGCAGGACGACTTCACCACTGTTGTGTTCAGTTTCTGTGACGAGCAATTCCCTTACAGGACCAGAATTCCTGGTCACTACGTCACGTTGAAGCAGTTCAAGGAGTACCTTCCGAAGAAAGGGAGCTATCGGTACATACATCGTTACTTATCGACAGACTAAATAATTTCATATATTTTAATTATCTTTTTTTAATTACCTTTTTTAATTATAGATACTTTTTCAAAACGGAATGCGAAGACTTAGATACGAAAGTTATACAAGAGGAGATAACGGATGATGCCGAGGTCCTGCCACTGTGGGAAGGCAAAGTGATGGCGCAAGTTAAGGCGCTTGAGTAATAGACTGAATAAAAGAAAACGAAGCGCGTATTCTGACCAAGTGCCGCAATAAATATTATTTAAGTAATCCGCCACTAAGTCGGCGCTCGGTATTTATACATATATACATATTAACGCTTGTCACGCGGCCTCTTTCTCATAATTGCCTAAGAAAAGTAGTTTTTATCGAAAAAGATAAAATATCGAATCGAGCAATATTGTTTCGCGCGTGAACATTGCGGAAAAGCATGAAAAAAAAACGGCCTCACATCAAGTTCTGTCGATCGAATGTCCTCGAAGAAATTTTTTGTAGGTTTGTTCACATCATAAGTGCAATAACTTTCATTGAATTTCTTTCCGCTCAAATATTTTTCAGTAAGATTTAGTTAGAAGTGTTACTTTATTATCGATCATGCTAAAGTCTTGAATGTGACTCACTTCAATGATATTCATTCTTGAAGAATATTTTATCATATTGGACGTCTTTATCTGAAGATAGAGGTATCAAAAAAGAGCCAAAACGTAATATATTATGTTCATCGTTAAACAAAATTTTTATCTAATTTATTTTCGCGCTCCAATATTCGCGCTTGACTTATTCGCTGTTTCTCTTTTAATTGTCGGGTACAATGTATTTATATGTCAGCACAAGAGCATTAGCTCTTGCACTGTATTTACGTTCCTTAATAATACTGAGAGCACTCACTGTTTAAAGCAGTAAAAAATGCAGTAACGATTTATTCTGATAAGGATGATTATAAATACTACATTGGACAATGATCGCAGAGAAAAAATGGTCGACGTACATGGATCGAGAGCTTAGCTTAGAGTGGTATTCATAATCGATTCTTGTATTCAAGACTGTCTTAAGCAGAGATGTAAAAAAAAAAGTATTTTTACTTCGGAAAAAAGTATTGAGTAAAAAACTAGTTGTAAATAACGGTATTTTTTATCAAATTACATAAAATTCATGAAAAAATATGTAGTTATTTCGATATAATTATTTGACAGATATTTTATATTTAAACTAAATAAGTTAAAGATGTTATTAGTACAGATAATAGATTAATACAGATAATAGATTTTATATATTTATTATAAACATAATAGATATTGTTGCATATTATAATTCTATTCTATATTTTAATTATTTTATATTCTATATTTTATTTATCTTGAGACAACATCCCAATATAATATTGATTTAAGAGTAATTACAGATTTGATGAACGTTGTCTCACAAATTCAAATTTAGAATATGTATAATTACAATCATGGTATACGACAAAAACAGTGTCAATTAGTCTATTAAAGTATTATTTATATTAATAACAGTATGGAACACTTACTTAACTTTTGAAATTGAAATTGAAGTACAGTATAAAACATCATTCAAATAATAGAAGTAAAGTATATTATTTATAATCGTCGATATTAATCATTATACTATATTTTAACTGTTTAACAACTTTTTTTTGCACAGAAATCTTATTGATAAAACAAACGATTAAATTCTGGAACAATAATACAGCATCGAAATGCTAAAAAAAAAAAATATTCGAGTAAAAAACTGTCAAAGCCGAAGGAAAAAACCTTATTTCCCGAATTTTTTATTCTAAAATTCTAGAATTTTTCCGTCGTTTACATCTCTAATCTCAAGTATAGTCTTAAGATGTCATCAATTCAGAGGGCCATATTAACATAATTAAGATATTACTTAAGACGATCTTGGAAATAAGAATGAATACCGATCTTAGTTCGCAGACTCATTTGCGCTCGGTATCGTTGTCACGAGAAGATTGGATCGATTCGGCGATTCTCTATCTTATCGGATATGCTTTTCGAAAATGTCCGATTTTTATTTTCCTCGCGATCGCGAGATCAGAACCGACATCTGATCGACGGCGACAATACAATGAACGTGGAACAACATGCATATAAACATGCACATGTACATCTTAATTTTTGTTCGATTGCAGTGTTTTTTTTTCTTTAATGAAAAAAGCTCTGCAAAAATTACACCCGTGATGACGAACGGCGCTGCCTCTTACACACATATTGGAGAGAGATTACTTTTATATTCACTGACAAGGAGCTTTCATGATGTAATACTAATCGATTTCAACGAAACTCATTGTAGCGAGAAAATCAAAATTGAAAATTAAAAAAATTATATAAAAAAAAGTAATTTGTTTTAAAGAAGAAAATTTGTATTTCTAAAGCAGAGAATTTGTGTTTTTAAAACAGAGAATTGATTTTAAAAGTAGAAAATTTATGTAACTCTCAATGTCGTCGATGTGATAGATTTCCTAATCTGGATCTGAATATCTGTCAACTTTAACAACTGGCTTATTAGGTTCGAAATTTTCAACTTCCATTTTCTCGCAAACGCTTGAATAGTGACTATTATCCTTTTACCCAGTAACACTCAACGTGAATACCTATCGCTACAACGAGTTTCGTTGAAATCGATTGGTGAAGTTTCCTTGTGAGTTAGCTTTAAAACGGAAGCAATACGCCCGGATAATTTTTCGCACTTGATCCCGACCGTCAACTAACTAGAATTTTTTCCGGAGACTATACAATGTGGTTTGAACTCTTGCATGATATTGGGTCTCGAATGTCTTATAAGATATAAGGTGTTTTTCTCGGATAATGTTAGCTGCTAAGATATGCCTACTTAGGAGCAAAATCAGATGCTACTGAGAAAACGTTAATTGTGACGATTGAAGCCTTCCAACCCATTCTCGTCTACGAAAGGATTCAAATTAGCGATCCTACTTCTACTTAGAATCCTACAGCTCCTTGCCCTCTTAAACTTTTAATTTCGTTCGAAAATTACGCTGATTGAAGAAGTTTTAAAATTTGTATTTCGACATGAGGAGTATCTTTCTAATATCGCCTCGAAATCGTTAAATATCGTTATCATGTACGTGTTTGCTTTTAATTCGAGTATTTCTATTGATTGCATAATTTGGGAAGGCCAGTCGCTTTCTTTCCTTATTAACCATGGAGGACCCTTCGATCATATATGATTCTGCAAGAAAACACGAGGTAATTGTCCAAAATATGGCATCAGTCGGGTTATCCTTCGAATTCACATGTCGTGTGATTCGGTAATTTCCTGCACCTCAGCAACTCGATTCGCTACGTAGGTTTTAAGTGAATGCAGTTGTGTCTTCAACCAAGCAGGCGTCACAAAACCCGTGAATTTGAATGTCTCCTACGAATAAAAGAAATTTGGCCCATTGGTTCTAATTGATGCGGGAATTCCATCCTACTACAGAAAGTATAGACTGCGAAACAGACTCTTTCCATTGCAATTTACATTTCCATACGTCCTGCATTAATTTTGTAACACGCAGGATAATGGGACCTAGCAAACCCATTGGATCAAAGATTTTTGCAATTTCTGCTAGAATATTTCGTTTCGACAACTTTTCCAGTATCTTGATAGAGTGGGCCAAATAACATACTTCATCATATAATATAAGAGTAGTATTCTATTCTATTCTTAGAGTTTTTAACAAACGGTCTCCGTTGGATAAAAAAATCCCCGCTAATCAAGTCAATGATTCGTCATTGAACGCCCATTGTCTAATTATGAAGCCATCTTCAGCTAATAATGTAATTAATTCATCCCGAATTTTATTCGAGCCTCTTCTATTGTCTATACGCCGGTTAGCAAATTATCTAAGATAGATGTTTGTGCAGAATTTCCGCTGCTCGAGGATACGCGTATCGTTCGTCATCCATGAGTTTCCGTATCACGCGAATAGCCAAAAATGATGCTGAAGAAATACCGAACGTAAGCGTATTGAATTGAACGTTTCGACGTTTTCGTTTGCCTGCCAGAGTATCCTCTGGTAACGTCGGTCGTCCTCGTGTAACCACATTTGACAATATATTTGTTCGACGTCTGCCGTTAAAACGTAATTATAAATACGTAATTATAAGTACGAAATCGGATTAAATGCATACATAATTTATTTTAGATGGTGGGCCTTATTCTCAATAGAGTCCGACCGAAACTTTTGCCGAAACATTCGGCTACATGTCAATTTCAACCGAAATTTAAAAAAAAAAGGAATCTTATAAAGTCTACCATATAGATGGATATATCATATATTTTTTCTTCAAATATCATAATTTATTGAAACAGTAACATTGTAATTAAATTTTGGCCGAAATCGAAAACCGAAATTTTGGTTGTGTCAATTTTGACCAAAGAATAAGTACTTCTTCTTCATAAATATCATAATTTAATTATTGAAACAATAATTACACATATTAAAATTAATATTTATGAAGAAGAACTATATGATTTGAGTCGAAACTGACGCGTAATGAGTGTTCGTTTTCAGTTTTAATAAAAATTTTGGTCGGACTCTAATCCTCAATACATCATTTAGTGATATATCTTCGTTGTTTTTTTTTTTTTGCAGAGCGCGACAGAACGGGAGTCGCTGAAATATTTGTGTTAGATTCGAAATGGTAATCGCACTATATAATGCCCGCTCTTGTCGTGAGAAATGGTTTCTAAAAAATGCTTCACATCATGCTTCTTTCGTCTGTCCATCGTTATTTCTTCGATTTCCTAAAATTTAGATAGTTGTTTCTCCAGATTGTTAGACAACATGTCGAAAGTTTCGAGGGAATTCGTGTTGGCGGATCCCCAGCGATTACCCATCCTAATCGCGTCTTCTGTAGGTAAAGGTCGTGATTTTTACGCGACAGGTTGAACTTGTCCTATGGAAAACAACGATAACATCATCCCAGATTCAATTAACCAGGATTGGGAAGTAACTAATTACTTGTAACTAAGTTACAGTTACAGTTACTTTTTTTTAGTAACTGTAACTTAACTTAGTTCTTTTTTTCCATCTGTAACTTAACTTAGTTACATTTCTTTCAATAACTAGTAACTAATTTAATACTTTACATTTTAAACTTATTCGTCAATTTAATGTGATTAGTTAAAATCTGAATATTGATTAAGGCTACGATCCACTTAATGCTACAAATGCTTCGAAGTATTTTTTGATTGGTCAGTAAATTGCAAACGTAAATTTTCTTTTTCTTTGATAGCCCTAATAATATCGATGTCATTCATATTATTTTATCATGATAACAGAAAAGTAACTGAAAAGTTATTTTAGTAACCGTAACTGTAACGAGTTAATTTTTAATCTCGGTAACTTGGAACTGTAACTAGCTACTTTTAAAAGAAAACTGTAACTGTAACTAGTTATTTTTACAAAAAGAGTAACTTCTCCAACCCTACAATTAACAGAATATTGTTAATCGCGTTAACAGAGATCGAATGTTTAATTACCTGTACTCTTAAACGCTCTACGAGAGATTCAGTGATAAAATTAGCCGTGTCTGGTAAGGCTCGACATTTAATTACATTTTGATCGCGATCGCGAAGATGGATTATTGCGCTCGTTAATAATTTCGACGCCTAAAATATAACACCACCGCTAGACTAGTTTCTCCGCCATCGACTATTTCTGGTAGTCATTTAGATAAGGTAGATCCTGAACTTGACGCTTCAGAATTAATTACCGATTTTTCCAAATGCAGAAACGTATTATGGCGTCTTTGGCAAACTTTGCTTTGGTGCAACTCGAAAATTTATACGGAGTTCCTTTATGAGATCGTAAACAATTGAAACAAATTTTTGCGTTTTTCACTGTTTTTCAACGTGGTCCGATACAGATATGTTTTTTACAGATCCGTTTAAACTTATTACATAGATAGAACAAGTGTCTCTTGTCCTTGCACACGACGCAATTATTTATGACGATGTCTTTATGACGAATGCTCGATTCACAGAGATTCACGCCAATAAATGCGGAACCTTTGACGATGAGAGAAGATTAGGGATCACAGGCGCCGGAATTGCTTTTCCGATTCGCCAACACACTTAATGCGAACTTGCTTATCGGATATTTTTGTGTCAGGCTCGATTTTTTTACGCATACACATAACACCAATTGTATTTTTTATTGTATTGATATCGCATTTTCTAATCTAATAAGGTAGACACTGTAGATACTATTTCATGAGATATTGGAAAGCATTATAGCTTGATCACGTTGTCTCAATATTTGACACGTGGCATCTGACACTGGAAATTGCATTTATTCAATTTCCAATGTCAGATCGCTTGGTTCAAAATTAATCGCTATATACATGACATTATTTCAATGCATTTTTCATTGTCCAGCGTCAATTTTGATCGCAGCCTATTTTGACGCTGAAAATGAGCGTCAATCATCAGCATGAAAAGGTACCTAATGTGAAAACTATTTGAGCGGAAATCAGAGTAAGATCAGAATCATACTCGTCTTATCTTTTTCATTTCAGACTTTTTGTCACATTTATACTTTTATAATACAATTATTCAAGGCAAAGAAAGAAAAGGGACAATTCTTTAAAATTGAGATTACTTTGTCAACGAATTTACACGACGGACAGTTCGCGCGACAGCGCTTTATTGTACATAATTAGCACGTAAACGATTTTAATGACAATGCTATGCGTTTTTGTCGGTACGGGTTTTGCCAGATGGAATTATTATTATAATTTTACCTGGCGTAATACCACATTCACGGAGTATAGTTTGGGCGAGAACGACAACGTCGAAATATCGAAAACATTGTGACCGATTAAACAATTTCTTCCTCTCGAAAACTTCCCATAGTTCTCCAAACGATTGTACAAAGGTTCGCGTAGTTGATCGCCTTAATAAGGTCTGCGTAGGCACTAGACTTACATAGAAGACGATAATTATTATACAAACTAGCATCTAAGGAAATATATTACGTATATTTCATGTAAATACAAGACAAGACGTCGTCTCGTACATAATATATGTAATATATTTTACATATATGCGCGATACGCGAAAATGCGAAAAAAAAATTGTGAATCATGTTTGTTTTTCTCCATTGTGCCACTACCGTCACCGTTGCATTATCGTCATCCATTCAATATTGTGAAATAAATTCACCGAGCGTAGCCTAATAACGGAGCGATATTTATAGTATGTGTTGACACGTAGTTGGCGTCGGGACGGGAAAACCAGTGGAGAAAGGAAGATCATTAGCGTTTAGATTGTAATAACGTTTGTATCAGGTGCGGAAATATGTGCCTTTTTAGTGCAGTAAGATCGAAATAAGTCTAAGAAAGAAGGTTAAGAAATATTTATAAATTATAGTACAGGGGCCCAATCCTGATAGGAAAAACATTGTGTCCGATATTAAATCTCGTCAAAATTATATTCACGCCGATTTCGTCGCTGAGAATATCAATTTTATTTCTTTTTTTTTTGTTTTAGACTTTCATCTATCGAAGTATGTCGAAATAGAAAAAGATACTGTATAAAAAAATTAGATCTTTTATTGAAGAAAAAAAAGAATAACACTTGAGACTGAAGGGATTAAATTATAACACAATTGTTACATTGTACAATATAAATTATTATATTCTACGAAAAATACCCTGATAATTTGCCGAAGCTCGCTTCTTACACGTGATTCCCGGGAAAAAATTGATTTAAAAAAGTATAGAAACGATAAGCATACTGCGTTAATTTACGAAAACTCGCACCTCCGCAAATTCTTAACATGAAGAGATTCATATTGAAGGCGACATGTGCGACCGATGACAATTTGTAATTGTACGTAATTGAACATTATTAATTATATCACGAACGTTACAAGTGTTCCTGTACCTTTTAATTAATTAATAACGATTATTATTGTATATCAAAAATATTGAGAATAATAACGCGATTTTCACTGGATTAAATGAATCACATCAAAATTTTATCCTGGAATCCTGTACTTTCATCGAATAACAAGGACGTTTGCGATGAATCAGCAAGTCATATAAAAGAACTTTCTTATTGCTCTTTAAAAAACGCAAGAATCACATGATTTAAGAGGTCATAATTCAATATACCGCTGCAATAATAATACAAGAAATTTAAAGAAATTCGTGTAAGTTAATATTATTTACAATTAGATATAATTTTCTTAAGAGTATTTTAATACTATACAAAGTTTAATAGTTAATACTGTATATAGTTTTCCGAAATGGTGGAAATCCCGCAATAATTTTTGTAAAAATAAAAATATCAGAAAACGGTGAAATATATGTTCAAAAAGCTACCTTTTGGCATCAGTATTGTTTAATCAACGTTCCAAGGTGCACGAGGATGGGAAGGGCGATGAAAATGTCAAGTTTCACAACATAAAATTTTCACTTTTGAACGATCATCCTTTTGAATGGAGTCGTTTGTAGCGACTTAAAATTGTCAGCATTTTAATTACCATCAAAAGCCTTTCAGATAAGCCCCTACTTGACCTCTAATGCCATTTTCATCATCTCTTTCGCCCTTGCACATCTATGGATAAGTTGATAAATATATGTATATATATATATATATATATATATTTATATATATATATATCAAAAAGTAATTTTTTCGAAACATGTATTTCATCATTTTTCGAATTTTATATCTTCGTTTTTACAAAAATTATTACGGAATTCTCACACTTTTGGGAAACTATATATACATTTTCTCTTTTCTTTGTTATAAATTCATATTTTATTGAGAGTATTTCACAGAGTTTGTTCTATTCATTTGTCTTATTCCGTTTTTCTCCCAAAAAAAAAAGATTTATATAAATTATAGTCTGATAATTACGTATATGTCTTAACAAATATATATAAAAGTATTGAGCATTTTTCTAGAAAGATATCGAGGAAGAAAAATGCATTTCTTGTAAACGGTAAAAAGTTTGTGCGAATATTTATGGTTAAATAAATTGTCCATGCACATACGCACAAGCACAAATCGCAATTGTGATGCGATAATACCATGAACACAATATTTTTTTTCTGTACTGGCGTTCACAAACTCGAAACTGATGACGAGAATCGCTTGAATGATAGAAAGGAATCACAAATTCTCCATCATTAATCATTAGTTATGATAACTACAACTTGAAAGATCACTATAGATGTGATGGTAGATAAGCAGGATTGTATGGAGCCTGTTTAGCGTACGCCTCGTCGGTGTATGGTGGGGGTTGCGGCATTGCTAAAAAATTAAATAAAAATGATTATCTATTCGAGAAACTGAAGAAGCTTACTGCATTTCTCTTTGATGTTAAAAAATAATACCAAAATTCAAAATACTTCTAAAAAGAATCAACTCTAAAATATATGAAAAGTTAAAAGTAAATATTTTTTTTATAAATCTTCATAGATATGTTAGATGTTAACTGTATTTGAATGTAAAAAATTTAAAATGTATATATAGAAACTTTGATCAAATACCTGTCGAACCCGTTGGATATGATGGAACATAGTTTTGAGCAGGTTGATTAGTATAGTTTATTGGAAATTTTTCAGTAGGTTGGTTGGTATAGCTTGGTGGAATATTTTGAGTAGATTGGCTAGTATAGCTTGGTGGAACATTTGCCGGGGGCTGAATTACTTGCACAATAGGTGTCTGAATGTCTGCAACAAATATTTGTGTAACGGATACATAAAGATATCTCTAAGTATATCTCTAAGTTTGTTTCAGAGACAGTGAGCAAATTAGTACCAAGACTAAAATTACAATAAAATCAGGACAAAAAATAAAATATAATAATTTATAATATAGAATTTTTTAAATAGATCTTAAATTTAAAAAAGTAATATTTAATTG